TTGTCTAGAATTCCTTTTCAAGCCCTCTCAGGTTTTACATGGATTTAGTTGGCCAAATTGGGTGCCAATTTGTAGGAGGAAGCCACTTGTTTTTTTCTGGCCACCCAGAACCAAAATAACCACACAGAAACTGTATTAGTTAAAACACTGTTTGGCCCATTAGCTCTATCTTCTTATTGGCTAACTCTCATATTCATTTCTATTAATTCAACCCATTTCTATTAATCTGTATATCACCGTGTGGCAGTGGCTTACTGGCAAAGATTTGGCATGTCTGACTCTGGCAGTTCCATGGTGTGTCTCTCCCTGACTCTGCCTTCTTCTTCCCAGCCTTCTGTTCTGTTTTCCCTGTCTTGCTTTGTTACCCTATAGCTTTGCTATAGGCCCAAACAGTTCCTTTATTAATCAATGAAAACAATGCATAGACAGAAGGACCTCCTACACCAAAGATGTAGTTGGGGAACCATAAAGGAGTAAAATGGGGGCTTTCGTAATGATCGTGATGTATCCCTTAAGTTGGGATGTATTTCTTAAAGTCAAAAATGTTCATGTAACCGTAGTAAGAAAAAAAAAACTGTTTAAGTATAAGTAAAGGTGGCTTGAGCAACTCAGGGCCACTTGAGAGCATAGCAGGTGGCTCGCCTGACATAGGACAGATATTTTGGAGGAAACCCTTTAAACAAGCATGCTTGGGTGTAGAGGAGGGCAAACCATACCCAAACTCCAGAGCCAGCTTTCAACTGAAGCATAAAACAATAGTCTAATGCCACTCATACCTGAAAGACATCCGAATTCCAGTAAAATGGAATCCAGTAAGTTGAGAACAAAAAAAGGCTTAAAGATAGGAAAATTCTGAGCCCTATCCACAGACAAAGGATGCTTCAGGAAGGAGCTGAGAGATACACCAACCAGGGAGGAGTTGTGCCAGGTACGTACAAACTGCAGCTGGTCTACTCCTTTGCTTTCTCCCTCTACTGGGTTCAGCTTCCAGATCCCAGGGTACAGCAAGCTTTTGGAGCCATCAATGGTGACTTAAAAAACAGGGCATTTACATAATGTTGTGGTTGAGGTGGGGTGGGAGGGTGGCAGGGTTGGGTGAGGGGAAGACCCACAAAAAATAAGCTGGGCTTGGAGCGGAGAAAAGAGAAAGCTTGAATGCAAGGAATAGGGACTTTTTTTTTCATTTTCCCTTATTGTTTGCAGCATTTGTTTTTTTCCTTGTCCTCCCCTCCTCCCACTTCCCTCCCACTCCTCTCCAGTCCTAAGAGAGGGCAGGGTACCCTGCCCTGTGTGAAGTCCAAGGCCCTCCTGCACCATCCAGGCTTAGGAAGGGATGCATCCAAATAGATCCCAAAAAGCCAATACATGCAGTAGAGACAAATTCTCAGTTGCTCACAGTATTTGTAAAGGTCCTGAATAATATTAGGATTGAGGGTGCCTTTACATGACCATTTGAATTGATTATAAGAGATATTGAGGCCAAATTCGATTGCAAAAGCAAATAGGGGTCTTCAGACCGGGTGTGAGGTGTAGAGGCTGAAGATTTTCTAAGAGGCATTCCAGAGGGGTGGAGAGGGTGTGGAAGACACCGTTACAAGGATGAGAGAGCAGAAGGAAAATGTCACTGCAGCCTGTAGTTGACAGCACCCCCAAGACTCAGGAAGGACCAAATCATCACCACACTCAATCACGGTCGGGGCTTAGCATGGCTAAGCCAGAGGAGGGACTCGATGCCTGGAACCAGGTCTTTCATCGATGCCAGATGTGAAGATGAAAACAGAGCAGAGAAAGTAACCGTTTTTACCGGGTTCCTGGAGGAGAAAGTGGCCGCTGTCACTGGTTCCTTGTGGCGAAAGTAACCTCTGTCACGGGGTTCCTCCCATTTCCACTTCTGTTCCATCGCTGATCTCTGGATAAAAATGAAATGTTTTGGTCCAGTCTTTTGACTCTATTACTCCTACCAAGACTGAGTGACAACCGTGAGCGAAATGAATGTTTCTTTTAGTCTTTTCATGTATTTCTAACATCGAAGATGTTAAACTAACGGTTTAATTTCCCTGCCGTGTACCCCTGCAGGGAATCCTGAGTCAACTTTTGTACCTATCTCTGCCTCGCTCAGGCCACATTTCATTCGCTATCATGACTTCATCAAAACACGCTTTAGTGTTTCCGTTTGTGATTTTCTTCCCGGCCCTTGCATCTCCTGTCTCCTTTGCACTCTCCCACACAAGCCCTTTTGGTTTTCTTACACTTGGACAGCTCTCTCCTTCTCCTCTTCCCTCCTTTTATCTTTCAGTAGCAACAGACATGTTCAATGAAAAGACTAATTTAGTAAAAAGTGTCCAGCTGTGAGTTAAAGGCATATTGAAGTAGACCCCCAGTAACATTTTTTAAAAAGTTTTTTTTTTTTTATATATATACAAGGTTTTGCCTGCATGTATGCTTGCTGGCCAGAAGAGGGCTCCAGATCTCCAGCCAGAAGAGGGTTCCAGATCTCATCGCGAATGACTGTGAGCCATCACGTTGTTTCTGGGAATTGAACTCAGGACCTCTGGAAGAACAGTCAGTGCTCTCAACCACTGAGCCATCTCTCTAGTCCCCCAATCTCATTTTTTAATCTTTGTACCTGTTTGTACTTAACAGTGAGGAGCCCTGAAGCACGTTGCAGTGATGACCATGAATGTCTCTCAGTGATCCTTATTCCCTCATTACACCATGCCAAAAAGCCCGTGAGCACAACTGCTTTAGTGGGGCGTTCAGGCAGGCACAACGTTGTGCAGGGAAACTTAAGAAGTCATGGCATTAGCCTGTGCCTAGCTGGACTTTTCATAGGTGACGTAGGAGGATCAATCCCATGCTGCTCTTCCCACTTAGACTGCAAGCAGCTTTCCATGGAAAGAAGTACACTTGGGAGCTGGATGGGTTAACACAGTTGGGTCCAGCCAAGTCTACACAGTAGGCCCACAGGGACTGCCTGCAAATGTGGTCATGTGACTGGGAGATGGGCCTGGCGTTATCGATGGTCTCCATGCTGGCAATTTCGTTCCTCTCCCTTTCTGTAATAACCTCTCAGAAAGTTTTAGGAAGGCTCCATGGGAGGTGGTTTGTTCAATGTTTTACAGGAAGCCTTTGCATATTCTCTTTTTCTCCCAAGCCAACACAATTTTGTTGCTGCCTAAGAGAGTTTCCTCTGAACTTGGAATGGGGAGTAAAGTAGGTGCTGAGTGTGTGAAACTCGTTTCATTTGAGTTTGGACTTGTCATAGCCCAAAGCATCGTCATAAATATGTAAGCAAATGAAGAAATGCAGAGTGGGAAGAGTTCATTTCTAGTTCATGTCCCGCGCTACCGTCTCGCCAGCAAGAACCACGCGGTACACATAGGATACTTCTGCAGAAAGGCTTTAATCCTCTTGGGAGCTAGAGCATAAGCCACATGGCGGAGACCCAGATAAGATGGAACCCATCCCTTATATAGGAAACAGACCCTGCTTTGGACGTGTCATTCTTGGATTGGTCAACTGCTCCCAGTCCCAGGTGATACCTTGGGAGTAGTGGAAAAATACCAACACGTGTGAGCTTTCTAGCTCACCTGGCGGTGCAGCGCCATCTATGGTGGAGAGTGTGGTTGTGGCCTTCTACAAGTTCATCTCACCTTACACGGTGTATGGGGGGAACTGACTGAAAGAAAGGGGGAGCTGAGGGTAGGGTGTGTGCAAAATCACAAAGTTGAAGGAACCTGGGGGAGGTGCATGTCTATATAACCTTGTTTGGAGTGAGGTCAAAATGATGACCTCATGTATTCCGACATAAGCTAGTAAAAATCGAGGTCTTTTTTAACCACTGTTAGGCCAGCCTTGACTAACGTTGCTACTTCTTTCCTTAAAGCTTTTAAAATTGGTCCTTTGAGAATTTTGTACAATGTGTTTTGATCGCATTCAGCTCCTCCCAGATCCGTCCTTGCTTTCCAATCCATCTAGCTTTGGGTCCTCTTGCTCTTTAAACACATCAAGTCCCCTTTGTGCTGCCCGGATATTCTTGGATGTGTGGTCTTCCACTGGAGTGCAGTTGACTTTCCAGGAGCCCACCCCTGCCTCTCTCTCTCTTTCTCTCTCTCTTTCTCTCTCTCTGTTTCTCTCTCTCTCAGTAGAAAGCTGATTCTTCCTCTCCCAGTGGCTATCCCTTCCCTATTGCTTCTCAGCTAGGGTGAGGACTTCATGCCCACCTCCCTCTCTGTAATGAGATCTGGTCTGGTGTGAGCTTGCACAGGTCATATGCAGGCTGTCACAACCACTGTGACTTCACATGTGCAATTGTCCTGCTGTGTTCAGAAGACACCATTTCCCTGTACCACCTCTGGCTCTTTCACGTTTTTGTTCCCCCCCCTTCCACAACGATGCCTATGATATGGGTTACACCATTGAGGGCTGAGCGTTTTGCAGCCTTATTCCCCACATGTGGTGGTTAGTTGTTGGTCCCTGTATTAATCACAATCTACTGCAAATAAAGCTTCTCTGATGAGGGTTGAGATATACATTAATTAAAATATCAGTGTATCCTTATGATCTCTAATTCTTCCAGTAAATACAAAAAATAGCAAATCCATTTATATGTGGTAAGAGGTTCTGATATTAAGTATAGTTGTCTATATGAAATAGAAAATCATGAAAACTTATTAACCATTTGCAAACGACCACTTACTGCTAATTCTCATGATCCCTAGATAAGAAAAGCAATTATTCACCCCTTATAACATCTGAGATTATACTGCATAATATCACTAATCAGAACATTTTGACTAATGATAAATAATTTACAGGAAATTCATTCACCTTTTCATTGTTTTATTGTAAAGCTAATTAACTGAGCGACATTAAACAATTTTAAGCTCCATTATTCTGACTTTTCTAGATGTATTATTCATGATGCCACTTAAGATAAAAAGAAAATGATATCCTGAGTGGTGGTGGCACACGCCTTTTTAAATTTCTTTTCAGGTAGGACAAGTTTCTGATTTGGGCACTAACATGAACTCTGAAGACCCCTACCAGTGAATCAAGACCAACAGATTCTCTTCAAGAATTCTAGCACATGGGGAGAACCACCATGTCAGGATGTGACTCTAGTCTCGGCGGTGGCACATGCCTGTAGTCCCAGTACTCGGGAGGCAGAGGCAGGTGGATCTCTGAATTTGAGGCCAGCCTGGTCTACAAAGCGAGTTCTAGGGCAGCCAGGGCTACACAGAGAAACCCTGTCTTAAAAAAAAAATGAGAGCTCACCAAGGCCAGCTGGACTGGGACTGAATGAGCATGTGATCAAACCGGATTCTCTGAATGTGGCTGACATGGGGGCTGACTGAGCCCCCAAGGTCCAAATGAAGACTGAGAAGTCATTGACAATGGCACTGGGTCTTGTTTTGTCTGCATGGACTGGCTTTTTGGGATCCTGGCCTGTTTGGTTGCTCACCTTCCTGGACCTGGAGGGAGGGGGTAGGAACTTGGATTTCCCACAGGGCAGGAAACCCTGACTGCTCTTGGGAATGGTGAGGGAGGAGGAGAGGGAGTGGGGGGAGCGGGAGGGTATTGGGAGGAGGGGAGGAAGTGAAAAGAGTGTTTTTGGATACTTGAATAAACAAGTCTAACTGAAAACAAAAACAAAAACAAAAAAAGAATATGATATGTTATGGCTTTTACTTAAAATTTATTTTTTGTATCTGAGTATTTTCATGTAGTGGTGTGTGTGTGTGTGTGTGTGTGTGTGTGTGTGTGTGTGTGTATGTGTGTGTACCATATGCATGCAGTGCCTATAGAGGCCAGAAGAGAGCACCAGATA